GATAGAAATTTTCTATATCGCAAAATATTAAAATTTTCTCGCAATTTCCCTCCATAGCTTATAAGGAGATAACGTTTTTGAAAATAAAGATAAAAAAGAAAATATTTGTATATCACAATTTTCTTCATTGAGATACACCAGTAAGTTTTTTAAATCAGCAATTGATACTATGAAAATTTATTAAATCAGCATTTGATAATATTTATGAAGAATATTTTTGAGTTTGTCGGTACTTCATTCTTTTTCAAAATAATCTTGTTTGAATGATTTTGAACAGTTTAAAAGCCACTCATTGTACATTTCTCTCTAGTCCGTTGGCAAATTTTATTTTTCAAAAGCAGTTAAGAAAGTTTACTGGATTGGGTAATTATTTCCGATAGCCATTGAGAGAAATTAAGCATTAAATCTTAAAGAATTACTAAGTTCTGATTTAAAAAATGTAAAAAAATAGTAATTGTGAAGAAATAGTTAATATTACTCTAAGAAAACATTACTAAGTTCTCAGTTTTTCAGGTAATTGCAAATAATAATAGCTTTTCATCTTCTAACATAGGTAACCATACGAAAGATTATATTCTCTCCGCGCATACTTCGTCTGCAATCTATATGGAAAGGTGTAGTTTTGGCTAAATTTTACTACATTTCGTGGTGATTTTAAATTATTAAACTGCTTCTCATTATTCTATGTTCTCTAATCCACTCTGCTATAGATATTAATAAAACTTTTTATGCGGGGTTGTGCCTTTAAATTCCGTAAGTTCTGAAGTTCGAGCCTACATAATAACTGTAAGTACATCATTTGAGAGTTTGGGGAATAATTTTGGTCAAAACAAAATACATTATAAAATGGTAAAGTTACATATTAAACAATTTGATTCTTGTAGTTAAGTTTTTCTTTTCAAAATATTAGTTTAATTCAGAAATATACCATTTAAGCTCCTTCAGTGTGAAAGCTCTTTTCAATAATAAGAAATAACTTCCAGTCACTCAAAGGATGTTCCACCCTGTGCTGAAAGTGCTTTGAGTAATTGTCCGCAGTACAGTTTCAGAGCTACTGCAAACATGAATATACTGCAATAATGTGAGATGCGTAAGTAATTGAGGTGGTTTTTCTCAAATTAATTAGTAAAATTTCAAGCAAAGAATGACCTGGAACTGCCAAGAATTGTGATCAAAAGTGACTCACTATTTCTCATATCCACACAAATGTAATTTATTTAAAGGACAATAGTCTCGATAATAGTAATTTGTGGTGAGCGTCTCGACTTTTTTCTATGAAACCGCCTCAATGCGACTGATGCTTTTGATTGAGGAACTTTTTTGTGATGCTTACAAAATTAAAAATGTAGCCTCACTCCCAATAAAAAAACTAAAGCACATGAATTCTCTTAATTCCGTGTGAATAACATTTGAAAAAGGAGAAGAACACATAATTTCAAAATGCAAAATACGAGGTGCCCAAAACTTGATGATTTTAGCCATGTTTGTGGTCATATTGTGTCGAAAGCAAAAAATTTGGAAAGAAGAAACATGTTCGCCGAGTAATTCAAATATCGTCTTAATTTCGATGAACGAGATTTGACTGACCACACCCCCAACACGGATTGCAAAACTTTCCATACCATTCTTTTAGACAAAATGAAAGAAAAAAATAAAGCCAGTCTGCGCTATGTGAAGCTTTTTGAAAAGTATACGGACCGAATATAAGAAAATTAACACATGTAAATTTCCTGAGAGAAGATTATGTCGAAGCATTTTGCCCCAGACGAGACCAAGAAAAGAATTGACGGACTGTTGTATTATTGCGAAATAAACTCCTTGCAATTTCATTTTCATGAATATTTGCAACAATTGCCTCAGAAGTGGACGAGCGTTTTTACCTGATCACCAAGCTAAAAGAAAAGCAACACAAAGAAAGAATTGGATGTATTGTTTACAGAAGTAGGAATAAGAAGTATAAAATAAGTTGAAAATCATTTATTTCATTCAAAAAAAAAAGAACACATAGCATTTTTTAACTTTGAATTTTATCTGCTTCGACATCGAAAGCTTAACATTAAGTAATAAAATTTTAAACTGAACGAAAATATAAAGCCCATTAGTAGAAATTCGGATGATTATACAGTTTTGTTAAGTATTTTTCGGCTGCAATTTCGATCCCCCTTGATCGTAGGTATATTTAGATCTCTATGGATAGTTTCATTACGCATGTACTATGGTGCGACCGTTGTATTATAATCGTCGCGCAAACTGTGCCCATAACTGGATTCCATACATCCAAATCGGTTTTATTGTGGCATTCATCTTATATAATGTTGCTAATGCTAAGTTCAGACTTCTTGTTTAAAAGCCGATGTAAACTGGCAGATTTGAGTTTAAACTGCAGCTTTTTAGGAGCAATGTGTCATCTCCAGGTTAAACGCCTGTCTAAGTGGACTCCGAGGTATGTAATTTCGTCAGCTTGCGGGATAGACACATTGTTGAGCTTAACAGTAGGGCACGTTTTAGGCCTTAGTGTAAAAGTGATGTGTTTGCACTTGTTTTCAATAATTTTTATGGAGTATTTATGTCGACTTAGTATAGTAGTATTATCCTCAAATTTTGACGTAATTACTTTGTCACTTGTAGGAATATCTGCGCTAAACAATATGTACAATATTGATCCAAGACCACCTGCCGTGATTGGATACTCCTCTGTTATGTATTCATTTACTTTTACTGAGAATTGCCTTTGAATAAATAGGATATGTGGAACGTGCGTGGCAATAACTGTTTAATTTTATGAATGGGGTATGGCATCTACCTAGTCAAGTGCTTGAGCGGCGTCAAGAAAAACGGCCGAGCAATACTATCTGAATTCGAAAGCTTTCCCTATTACATTTGTTATACGATTTACTTGTTCTATTCTACCATGTTTTTCGCGAAAGCCAAATTGATAAAAATGAAATTTTTTCGGATCTACTGTAAGTTGTAATAATGTTTTTTAGTTCAGACAGAGACGCTCCGCAAGTAACAGTGTATCTAGGAGTAGCCTGGTTCGGTGACAATGGTGCATTAACTTAAACAATATTCCGTACGGTTGAGGAGACATGACCATATCAAAACATGATTATATGGCTGATGTTGGCGCAGTGGTAGAACACTCGCCTGTTAAGTCAGGATCCGTTGGTTCCCTGCCATCCCTGCCATAAGAAGTCTGACGAGGAGATGTGGTGATCTCCGAAACAGCTGTCACTTCTACCATTTTTCTTTGTTGTATAACAAATATTCAATTCATACAAACAACAAGGCCTCGTAGATTACTCAATAAAATTAATATATAGCATGACCGCAAAAACAAATTATAATATTTTTAAATGAGAGCGAGAGCCGTTTCTTCTTTTATCCATTGAGGCCGAGATGAAGTGTTTAATCTATCCGACCTAACCAGCGAGTCCCTTAATTCCGTGAACTATGCCATTATCGCAGTACTATGTCTCATACAAAACATCATTCTGTTATCGCTGTCACTCTGGGGCCACTCTGCATGAAACCTCGTTTGGTGAGGAACGACTCGGATAGGTCCTTCCTGATCCGGGCGGATATTTCGGTGGTACACAACGTCAGTTTACACAGCCGAATTCATTTTTCAGGGATATCAAATTCAGACAGCTTTAGAGAAAGAACAGAAATGATATGTGCTATTCTTTTCATGCGGATCACAGGAACAATGAGCTCGTTGGCTGTTAGCTTTGATCTATCTTTTTACATTTATTCTTTAAAAAGTTTCCTTGTTGGACATTGCCCTTTAAAACACTTGTTTACCGGCTGATCCTTTCGGTAGTTTCCTTTACCATTTACATTGTAAATTTATCACCAAAAATAATGAAAATATGCCAAGCAAAAGGTTTAATTTATTATGTTTATTTCATCCAACACAGAGAATTTCGAGCCGTAAATAAAATTGAATAAATTCCAACTCGTATGGTAGTGTCTATATATATATTTAAAGGGGACTGTAAAATAAATTAAATTGAGAATCATAGACCAGTCGTAGTTAAAGCTTTTATTGTAGTTTTTTTTAAGGGATCTGGAAATCCAATTCACATGAGTATAAAATTTTTTGGAGTCGAAGGTCTCTATAAATTATATTTATTTTTGAAATGTACTTATGTACATATGTACATAAATAATCTGTGCATAAACATATTAAAACTTAATCAAATGGTAAAAAAATCGAGGTCATTTTACTGTGCTGTTATTTAAGTATTTCATGAATTCTTACACTTAATTTCATTACTTATACGTACAAGAATGTATATATAAATATACATCGATACATGAGTACATGTAGTTAAGGTGACTAAATAAATATTGAAAAGTTTACTAACTCATTCTGCACAAATGCGCTTCCATATGGACAAATATACAATACGCACACATTTACATGCATAATTTATTATATAATATTTACTTGTATACTTTCCTTAATAAGTACGTATACACGTATATTATATCAGAGATGGGCACTTGTACACCGGAAATACTAGTACACCGCATTTATACTATACCATTTTCATGTATGTGTATTGAAACATTACGTTTTGCTTTGATATATTTTAGATATACAAACAAGTAACGCAGAAAACAGGCATTGGTGACCATCTCTGGTATGTATGCATCTAGCTATATTGATCGTTTGCATTCAAAAGGAGCTTACAGCCAATTATATTTCCATCATTTTGATTCATTTTTGTTTAATTAACCATTTCTATGTACGAGTACAGATTCGTACACATGTGTACATAAGTTTGAAGGTATACATGTGTATTTATTTAAAACAAATTAACATTATTTACTTATCAACAAATGTTATTTATAAAGATATCTGAAGTCGTAAGTTCTTTATTTAAAAAGTGTGTCGAAGTTTTTCATTTTTTATAGTAAATTGCATCGAATCATATCTTAATTAATTAAAGTTATAATCTTATATGTACATATGTATGTATTTATGTGTGCAAGTGTGTATGAGTGTATATAATTCAATACATATGTGCATTATTTATGTATAAGCCAGTTCAAGTGGAAGGCGATATGTTTCGCGAAGTAACAGTGAAGGCAACAATATTAATATACAATAGAGCCAAGTCGAAAGCATCAGTACAGGACACAGAATAAATGGTTTGCCTGCGACATTGTGTTGAACGGCAGCTGGCAATTCTCCTATAAACATTGAAATAAAAACTTATTAAAGAAATTCACAAGATTTATATATTATTAACACAAAAATATTCACAAAAAAATATATATGATTTTTTTACAAAAAAAAAAAAAATAATTAAACAAAAAATTTAACATTTTAACACTGTATTGATAATGTAAAACTATTGAAGGGCACTGCTCTAGTGAAATTTGTTCCAAAAGACCTCCAAAACAAACCTGCTGGGCGGTAATTTCGTCTGCTTGGATTATTAGAAATCAAAAAGCATGGTGGACTCTTTCAAACGATAGATTTATGAAGGTATTGAAAAAAGGAACAGCATAATAATTTATTTCTGATGATATAAAAAAATAAATTTTATTTCGGTTGAAGCTTTGCTCCAAAGTGTTGATAAAAATGCATTTGTTGAATATCTGAGGAATATATATGTACCAAAAAAAAAAAATGTTTGTAAAAACTTCATACCGATCAGTCGTGCTGTTTCTGAGAAACCAAGATCACCACGAGAAAAGCGTTTTTAGAGTTTCTGGGGTAGTATACACATAGTTGAATTTTAGTTTCAAATTCAGCTATATCTCGAGAAATAGATATATTTCTTTTATTTTTGGACTAACTTAAAATTTTCATAAAACAAGACGGCTCATTTAATAAACTAAAAAATGTAATAAGTTTTAAAAACCATTGTTTGAAATTAGTTCAATGATTTACCTGTTAGCACCTGCACCTGCACTATTGCAGTGAATAGCTTTCCAATGGAGCAAGAATAGTTTCCACTATCTATAAGTTTAGCGTCTGGAATTGAGATACGACTGTTGAGCCATTTTTCCGAGGTGCTGACAAATGAGAAGAATACGAAATTTAAAAGTGAAATTAAATCTAAATTTAATTGCCCTATTATTGTTTTATATAAATCATGTTTTTTCGGGAGATATACCTTGATCGTTTAATCGCCGTAAATGGCAACATTTCATCGTCTTTAGTCCAAAATATCATGCTGTTGAATTGTTTTTCGAAAGCTTGTCCGGATATTTTAGTGTTGTTTTGATTATTACTCGATACCAATTCATTGTAGCCAGTACCCAATCTACTGGATCCTAAGCTACCTTTGTTAGAACTTCCTTTTGTTTGATTTTGCTCGTATGGTTGTACTGATTTTGCAATTTTTACATTTTCCTTTACAAGGAAACTTCGGGATACTTGGCAGTACAGATCGATCGTGCTGCCCGCTTTATAATATCGATCGCTCACTTCTCGCTCTTGATCGTCTATTAATCGTAAAGGCGGTTCTTTAAACAAGAAAATTAATTTGTTATTAATAGAAGTCATATATAAAATTGTGATGTTGCAATTTCTATGTGCATATACATATGTTCGAGTATGTTTGGAGATGTGGTTTAATGTTTTTCGGCTGCCTCTGAAAGGCAGATGGATAATTAATTAAAATAGATAGTTTAAAAAAAATTGAATTAAAATCTTAAAGGAATCGGGCTTGGATATCACTTGTGGAACGATATCATGAGCTGAATTGACTCACAAAGAGTACTTCCTACTGAGTAATGAAAATTTGAATTTTTTTTTGAGAAATTTTTTGTCATAACCAAAATGTTATAATGAATTTTAATGGAAATAGAAGAATAAGAAATCTGCATGCTTTTGTGGCCACTTCAGTTGCGTTTTAAACCCTAGAGCCTAAGTCCAATTAATATTTAAAAATATGAAAATAATATCTGTTAAAGACGATTTTCGGCTACCTCCACGAAAGCACGAAATCACTTAAACGGATACAAAAAGGCCATATATGTACATATGTATATACTACATCTTTTGTATCCTGGTGACCGATGATTACACAATATGTACTTAATCGTACTATAATCGTGTGCTTACATTGGTATATGTAATTGCGTGCAAATGCATACAAACGTGTATGTATGTGCCATTTATCTACAAGCTCATATAAGTATGCGTATGCAGATAATATCTTTAATGCCTTAAGCGTCCATTCTTCTTTAGAAATTGGATTATTTATACGGCTGTGTGTATTTATCAATTAACAGAGTTAATCCGCTTTGAGGAGGAAGCAGCAAATTTGCAAAGTCATCCTTTTATGCTATTGAAGAAATGCGCAATCATTTATTACACAAATACAATACAAAGCAAATTAAATTAGAGTGTCAGCGTAAAAAACGACATGAAGTCATTACAAGGCAGATAATCACTGCTTCTGCTCTTGTTGTTGGCATGCAAAGCACGCGAAACATACAATGGACACAACCGTTTCGTAACAGGACCAACGACTCATTGTGTGAACAAATGTGTATACATACACATCTACATATATGCGAGTACGTAAAAGAGTGGCCATCCATTTCTTCATTTCCTTTTCAGTGGCACTTTGTAACAGCACCGACCTAGCTGACTTTTCCGAAGAATATTCAGTTACAGCTGACTCGATTAAAATGTGAGTGTGTGCGTGTGCTCTTACCTAATATGGTTAGATTTGTTGTGAAGACTCGGGGTGGGTGCGTAGATACTTGACACATGTACACGCCGGCATCTTCCCTTTGTGTTGGGTTAATGAGCAGCCGCCAATTGTTTGGATACTGAAACTTGACGCGTATTCTTGGGTCGCCGCTGTAAGTTATGTTGCCGACAGTTAAAAGTGAGACCTTTTCTGTTGTTCGCCTGACCCACATGACCTAAAAAACATTAAAATGGGTAGAAACATTATTTATATATTCAAGGTTTAAAAAATAATTATTTAACAATGCCCTGAGGGTTACAAACACATCGTACGAGTACTTCGATACATATTTTAATATAAATGTAAATACGTATGTGCGCGCGCTCTTATGTTTATATGAAAATGTAATTAGCATGTAAATATACCCCAATATATCACCATAATTTTCGGTCCCCGTAAATAGTAAAACAGAGTAGATGAGATGAATTGCACGAGCAGATATTAAGGATGCATATAAAATTGCTTATTTTGAGCCCACTGTACTTGTGTCAAAAACTATTTCGACTATGGGTCTTACAAACGCCCTAGTTTTTATATATTGATCCTATTATTAATAAAATAGAATCTTCATAACTATTCATATAAACGAAGTCGTACGAAAAAAATTTCGTATAATACCGTTCGAGTAGGTTAATTAGGTTCGAGAGATTTAAGTTGGTATAATATTAGAATATTTTGACGTTAAGGCAATTTTACTATTCACTTAAACTAACAAATATTAATAAATCCCTTACGTTAGCTTCTATCATATTCTTAAATCTTCTTCCGGTTTAAGCAGGGCAACTTTTTCGAATGAAAAATGCTATGGAGGATAACAAAAGCAGGAAACAAAAAGTGAAAATGTTTACTCTTTTTAGACAATTGCACTGTCCACAATAGTAGACGTTCTATTGCAAAAAAATTTTTAACTACCATTAGGACCTGTAACACACCTAACTATTCTTAACTGCTCAAAAATCTGCTTACATAAAATAAGTTCAGCAAAGTCTTTCAATAATTACAAATGCTGAAGAACCAACAATAGAACCATTATTTGACATCAACGGTTTGAGTTTTCCTGACTTTGTTCTAGTGGATGAAGATGTTTCTGCTTCAGTTAAGAATACAAGATCCTCATGCGACCCCTTACAAAACTTCTGTATATAGAACGAAGTGGTGAAAAGCATTTAAGGCACTTTTGCATTAAAAAAAGTTATTGAGCAATCTGAGCAGCAGTACATTACTTTGAAGCAAACCAGATTTCTTTCGAAATATGACTTAGTTTTCATAATTATGATATATTTATAATTATCTTTAAACGCATATGCCTCCTAACTTTTGTCATTGCCAGAATATCAGTTATTAAATTTCAATTGATTATAAACAGTAAATAATTCGAAGTTTTATTTATTTTCATTCAAAAACTTTGAGCCATTCGATCGTTTGAACACTCGAGAATTCGTAATATTTTCATATTTTAAAAAATATATTTATAAATATAAAAAAATTTGTCAGCATCTACTACATTAATAGCATATTGATTATATGCATTATATACTCAACGATTTTCTTGAAATAAATCGGTTTTTTTTTAAGCTACCAAATAGAATTTAAAGTTTACCAATTTACCAATTTACCAATCTACCAAACTTAAACTCTGTGTTTGCAGGTTTCGAGTTTACGAGAACTGTCAAGTGTCAGGTGTTTACTGAGTGTAGTGTTTGAATTCTCATTTACTTTTGTTGTTTTGCTGAGGCAGTTTTCTGCTGAGCTCCTACTCCGGTTTTTAGCCTTACATGGAGCCAGCTCTACTTGGCAAGGGGCAAATGTGCCTATGATGGGCTTGGTAAATTTGACCTGGAAGAAACTACTGGAGCAAGAAGTTCATTATTTTACTATGGGTTCTTCGCTGTTGTTGCTGTTCAGAAAAAATAGCGACTTCTTGTAGCCATTGTTGTTGCTGTTCACTTTGAATACCGTTTTCAAGCGGTGGCGAGCGATTTAATACCACTTTTCTTCAAACAAAGAGATTTTGAAATGTAGCTTACCAGAGAATTAATGAAAAGTAGCAGCGAGTAAAGTCGGTGGTGGTTAGCAAACTGCTATTCTGAAGATCAGAGTCCAGAACTCGAACTTCGACCAACATTGAAAATTATAGAAAATAAATTTTTCTAATTGCGGTCACCCCTAGGCATCAACTGAACACTACGGATCTAGATCCAGAAGGTGTCTTTTTCCCCCACTAATCCAGAGTGTCACTTAATTCCGCGCCCATTGAACGGTTTGTAAACAGCCCCAAAAAGCATGGCTAAATTCCAGCAGACAAACTGACTGGGTAAAAAGAAGGCCAGTTATTGGACCAAGCAAACTCTCGCTGCGAAAGTAAAACCATTTGGCAAAGACTTTAAAAAGCTGCCCGTTCAGCGCCGCGAGCTGAGACACCCTTCAGTGAGGAGGCGAAAGAACATCTGGAATCGGCGATCAACGACCGAGCCCACCCGGATATATATATATATCTCCCCAGAAAACTGGTTACGGCTTTTAATGTAGCTGTGAATAGTTTAAAAGTGCATTTTTCAAAGAAATCCCCGGGTTTTGTGTCAGATATACGGGACACAGGCTGGTTCAAAAGTAAAATAAGCTCGTGTCTTGCGTAGACAAAATATCATTTAAGGTCTACAAGGAAGTAATTGCCGACATGGAAAAGCGGTTTGTGGCCAATTTAACGGCGGTGAACGAGGTTAGCGAGATCTCAAACAGTTCCACGGGCTTGGGCCTGTGTACTAGCCGAAGAATTGGACGGTTGTCTAAGTGGTCAGGGTCTAGATGCGGCAACGGAGTATCCTAATAAATGTGAGAATTCTGGCCAATCGTCGAAAGCTGGTAGCAATTCTGAATCTGCGTATAATGCAACCAAACATAAAAATCGGTACGACGTAGACTTCCTCACATCCTCTGGTTTTCAGGATTTCTTCTATAAAATCAGTCTTTTTATTTCGTATTTTGTTGTAACGGAAAAATTGAATTAAACGTTTGAACATTAGTTTTAAAGTAGTACTTAAAATTATTTCTTTTTTTCGCTACACTACCGAAAGCAATTTCTATTCCACAAAATAAAAATAATAATTCGATCCTCTACGGAAATTTAGATAGATTTAGACGGCTCATAAATAAAAATTTGGTTTTCAGTTTTCGACAGACAGGGAATCTGCTTTCATACCGAAAGCCTTTCTTCCTCAAAGATTTTCTCTTAAAAATTCACCATACAGATTTACCATTTCCTAAAAAAGCGATTTGTAGTGTATGCATTAATTTTCGAGAATTAGAACTTCATTGTGAAGAAATAATATTAATCGCCTGGAAACGTTTGCTCAATCAACTCCTAATACTTTTGCAAGTTGCATGGATCTGCGTCGAGCAATGTCGTCTTGAAATTTTTTTGGCTGTCCGTCGTCTAAGTCGAAATTGCCACTTTTAAACCGTGCAAACCACTTCGTTTGGCTAAAGCATGGTCATCATAAACGTCCAGTAAAATACAATGGCTTTCGGTAGTATTATACTTTTTTTCATGTTAAAGTAATGAAGAAGAACTCCCCGCTAAAACACTTTATCTGGTACGAATTTCGACATTTTCAAATGAATGAAACAAATGACATCTACTGAATACGACGCGAAATGACAGTACCTTTGAAATGAATATAGCCACAGATGAACCCGACGCGAAATAATATTAGTAGCGCCCTCTCTTAGAAAACCGCACGAATTAATAGTAGCCAATGAACTCGATGTAATGTTTTGTATTTTAGGTTTTGAAGCATTTAGAAAGAAATGTGTGGTCGTTTTATGTAAAGATGATCCTGAAGGGACGAGAAGTCAGAAAACCACTAATGCTACGCCTTTTGTGTGCCATCCCCAAAGCTTTTTTAAGATACATTTTGAACAAAACTATTTCACTGAAATTTCTTCCTCCTAGAATTTTAGTAAAATATGTTCGCACTAAAGATACTCCATTTACGTACAAATGAAGTACAATAAATCATATTTAGGCTAGTGAAGAAGCACTTCGCAAGCAGAGGGAGAACTGTTTGCAGCCCCGCTAACGGAGATGCACATTCTCATATTTTAGTGCTGCCTTGCGTAACTTTCGCCAATCCAGTAAGTTTCATAAACAAGTACTTTTTATTCTCTCCAACGCAATGTAGAAGAATATCAAGTTAAAAAACTGTAAAGTGCTCTATATACTTGCTTTTATTGTGCTTAGCATAGAACTACTATAAAACTTTTGCACTTTCACTCTGAACTAAATAAAAAAGCAAACATATCAAAAATTGCAACAAAGGCAAGCACTTAGACAGGCCACTGGAGCCGACTCATCTGCTGTGATGTGCTTTGTTGCTTTCACGCGTGCATGTTGGTGTCCAGAGTTGTAAGACCAGGGCACATGAATTGGGTCAGACGCAACTCTTTTCGAGCTATGCTATCTCGGCAAGTTGTGCATCTGCTGCTCACGCTGCTGCTTCCAATTAGAGCTTTCCAGTCTTTTTAAGTGTTTCAAGTTAGTAATGTACATGCTTTCGGCCAAATTAAATAGTTTCTTATGCAACGTTTTTGATTGCATAACATATGTAGGTTTGTACTTACGTTCACATGTTTGTATGTATAAGTGTACAATGTTATATATGTACATATGTACATCGAACGACAGTCCAGGAAATTTTATTGCAGAGTGCAGTGCTTTTTCGTCCAGAATTTTCTGATTTTATCCCATTACTTTTCCGATTTATTAATTATATTTTGTTTTAATAAAATTGTTTTTTTTTTTTGTTTCGCTTCCTTGGGCATGTGTTTATTGAATTATACAAATAAGTGCATACCATGACAGTTCATTTTCAAATTAAAATTCCCAAAGTCTACATATGTACGAACATAGGTATATGTAGAAACGAGCAAGCCAGGATTCGTGAAAAATGAGTTGCGAAAATGTAAGCAATTTTAATAATGAGTTTATGGGAAATATTTCTCCTCTTTGGGTTGCGTATAGGATTTTTGTTTTAATAAAGTTATGTTATAATGATGAAATATTGATTTTTCGTAGTCAAATTGAGTAGCAATTAAGTGAATATATACAAATTTAATTAACTAAAAAGAAAGAAATTTTTTGTTTGCGTATGTATAGTAAAATGGTAATTGCGTAAA